CAGCATTATTTCTGTCACCAAGGCCAAATTTTCCAACTACCAGTGATTCTTCTTTGTTTCCAACTTTTGCATTCCAGTCACCAGTGATAATTAACACATCTTGATTGCACATTTGGTCAATTTCAGACTGTAGAAATTGATAAAAATCTTCAATTTCCTTATCTTTGGCTTTGGTGGTTGGTATACAAATTTGAGTAAGAGTCTATATTAACTGGTCTTCCTTGCAGGCGTATGGATATTATCCTATCACTGACAGCACTGTATTTCAGGACAGATCTTGAAACATCCTTTATGATGATGAATGCCACGCCATTCCTCTTTGTCATTTCCAGTACAGTAGATCATATGGTTGTCTGATTCAAAATGGCCCAAACCAGTCCATTTCAGCTCACTAATGCCTAGGATATTAATCTTTGTGCGTTCCAACTCATTTTCAACAACTTCCAATTTTCCTAGATTCAGACTTTGTACATTCTATTATTAATGGATATTTGTAGCTGTTTCTCCTCAATTTTGAGTCGTGCCACGTCAGCAAATGGAGGTCTCGAAAGCTTTACTCTATCCATATCAGTATATCAGTAAGGTTGGTCCTACTCTGATGATGCAGTTCTTTCCTAGTCCTATTTTGAAAGCCTTCTGACCTAAGGGGCTCGTCGCCCTGCACTGTATTGGATAATGTATCTGGGCGATTCACAAAGTTGCACAGTAATGTATCAGACAGTGTTTCTCTGCTATTCATAAGGTTTTCCCTGGCCAATCCTTTGAGAAGTGGATGGCCTCTTCTTTCTTCCTAGTCTGTCTCAGTTTATAAGCTGCACTGAAAGCTGTGCACCATGTGCAACCCTGCTGGCACTTAAAACACCAGTAGCACAGCCTCAAGCCTCACAGCAACATGCAAGCCACAACAGTATGACAAACTGACAGACAGTTTGTCTCGCTTAGCTGTTCAAAACCTCTCTGTCCTCCCCTCACCTGTATCCCTGGCGCTGCTCTGCTCTGTCGTCACCTCTGCTTCTCTTTCCCTTGCTTTCCTGGCTGGTGGGTTGGGGCCTGTGTCCCTTCCTCCCCTTACCTGGATCCCTGGCAATTCTAGTAGAGTTCCTAAAATAGCTTTTAGAGGTGGGTCTAGTTTTCTTTGTATTTATATGGATTAACTTGGTCATTACTACTTCAAAATGACACTAATTAATTCTGAATGAAGGGATGTGCACAGCCATTGTGCAACATCGTTCGAACAATATCATTAACATCACATGCAAGTAAAACTTTGCTGAAGATAACTCAAAACTGGTTGCAGCAGTATACTGACAGGGAACTTCCAGAAATTCAAGCTGGATTCAGAAGAGGATGTGGAATAAGGGATATCATTGCTAATGTCAGATGAATCTTGGCTGAAAGCAGAGAATACCAGAAAGATATTTACCTGTGTTTTATTGACTGTGCAAAGGCATTTGATTGCATGGATCATAACAAATTATGGATAACATTGAGAAGAATGAGAATTCCAGAACACTTAACTGTGCTCACGTGGAACCTGTACGTAGACCAAGAAGCAGTTGTTTCAACAGAACAAGGAGATATTGCATGATTTAAAATCAGGAAAGATGTGCATCAGGATTGCATCCTTTCACCATACTTATTCAATTATATATGCTAAGCAAATAATCTGAGGAAATGGACTATATTAAGAAGAATGCCACATCAGGGCTGGAGGAAGATTCATTAACTACCTGTGATATGCAGATGACACTACCTTGCTTGCTGAAAGTGAAGATGACTTGAAGTACTTACTGATGAAGATCAATGACTACAGCCTCCAGTATAGATTATACCTCAACATAAAGAAAACAAAAATCCTCACTATTGGGCCAGTAAGCAACACCATGAAACACAGAGAAAATACTGAAGTTGTCAAGGATTTTATTTTACTTGGTTCCACAATCAATACCCATGGAGGTAGCAGTCAAGAAATTTAATGAAATATTGCATTGGGCAAATACGATACAAAAGACTTCCCTAAAATCTTAAAAAGCAAAAAACATTACCTTGACCCAAGACATGGTATTTTTAATTGTCACATATAGGTGCAAAAGTTGGACAATGAATAAGAAAAACCAAAGAACTGATACATTTGAAATATGGTGTTGGTGAAGAATACTGAATATATTATGGATTTCCAGAAGAATGAATTAATCTGTCTTGGAAGAAATAAAGCCAGAATTCTCCTTAGAAGTGAGGATGGCAAAATTTCATCTCACATGCTCACGTTATCAGGATGAAACTAGTCCCTGGAGAAGGACATCATACTTGGTAAACTAGAGGGTCAGGGAATGGAGAAGAGGAAGATGTGGAATGAGATGGACTGACACAGTGGCTGCAACAATGGGCTCAAACACAGCAATCACTGGGAGGCTGGCAGAGGACCAAGCAGTGTTTCGTTCCATTGCACTTGGGTCACTAGGAGTTGGAACCGACTTGACAGCACCTAACAACAACAAAACAGCAGGGCCATTCCAGATAAACTGTTAAGTCAGCAGCAACCAGCTTATTAATCTCTAAGGAAAGCCTTTGAGAAATACTTATACACCCTATCTGTGGCTCCAATGATACTCCTTCTTTTAATGTGAAACTAATAGCTAATTTATAAAGGGAACTTTTAAGATAAAGGCAAATTTAAAGAAAAAAGCAAATACTGTCATAAAAAAAAATTATAAACTACTTTAAAAAAAACTGATTAAGAAAATTCCTACATAGTTTTGCTTTTTGTGGACAAATACTGAGTGCTAGGTTAAAATATTAAATCCAGAGACATTCTTAGAAATGTATTTGTGATCTGTATAGCAATTTCCATAAAAATCTTTCTCCTCACATTTTTTGTATTAATGCTATTGAACTCATGATATCTGATTTTCTAAACAAACAAAGAAGACTAATTAATTAATTTATTCTTCAGCTTAAGAAATCATTTTCTTTTAGTTTTCGTGTGTAAATTTCTAGTGTCTACTGCTCACAGGAAAAATTACAGCAAATCAAAATGTTTAATAAAATCTCTTTTAGAGAAAATGGTATGTTGTAGTTAATCTGATTTTTTAAAGGCACAGTCTCAAGAAAATTAAAGGAATGTTTGATATGTATCTGCAGAAAACAGTATACTTTTTAGTTGTAAAGGAAATAATCTTCTGAAGGTTTGTAGGGCAGTGTGTAAGTACATAAAAGATAACTTACCAATAAGCTCAGTACAGTATCAAATAATAATTTATTGATAACAATGAAAATAATATGAAGTTGATTGAAAAGAACAACTAAAAGTATAGACTTTACACTCTGGTTATGTTTTTTAATAAACATTCATTTAAGCCACATTTTAGAAAATAGAATATTTAAGTTTTCCATAGGTAATTTTTATTATTAAGAAGAACCTTTTGTTAAATTCATTCATAAAGCAGAGTTAATGTCAAAGTTATCTGTTTACAGATTTGGACCTATTTGATTTTTTTTAAGAAGCCATTTATATTTTTACAGAATAAAGTACCATGAATAGTCTATGATGAAGTCAGAAGTCTTATTACTTAAATCTGATTCAGAATAGAAATAAAAAAAAACTGGAAAAATGCATTAATTCTTATTCAGTTGCTATCAGAATGATAAACTTGAATCGCATTCCACTAATAGCTCTTATTAGGAAGTCACAAAACTCAAACTATTTTTTACCTTTAACTGATTTGTGACCTAATTCTAATGATAAGGTTTGTTTTTTTTTTTTACATTAGCAGTCCATAAAATATGTACTTTTGATAAATATGCTCACAATGAAATTAGTGACGGTATTAATAAGGTGTAGTAATTATTAACAGCAGGGTCCCAGCTCTTCCACTTACAATGGCTATGTGATCTCAAATAAATTGATTTTTCTAAGTCTCAGTTTCCTCATCTATGGAAAGGGAAAAACAGTAGTACATACCTCATAACACTGTGATAGTAACACAAAGAGGTTAATCTTTAAAAAGTACTTAAACCCAGTACCACACACAGTAAATATTCAATAACTGTGTGCTATTATTATTATGTTGCTCTGGATTTTAACCTCTGAGTGCAACAAATGCCAAATTTTCTCTCTTGTTGGGGCTAAATATAGCAAAGTCAAAGGGGGCAGAATGAAACACTCTGCTCTAGTTCTCATTAGGGCATAGTAATGATTTCTGATCTACCTGACTTACTATAATATTTTCACTTTCTTGTGCTTATAATAAACATTTAAAGTTGGATTCCTAAAAACAACCACCAGTGGTGCCCTTCACTGGGATATGAATGCAGAGGTTACCCACCTGTGCAGCTCTTCTGTTTTGTCTTCAGTTGGACCTACGATTAGTAAACAATGGCGAAGGACAGCTGCCATGACGCGGAACTGATGAGAATCACTCTACAGCAAATAAAAAAGAGAAGAAGAAAAATTTGGGGCTGGATGCCTTAATGAAGAAGTCTAGTGCATTCTCATATCCCTGAGAGCCATCCTATGGCCACTATGCCCCCAAAACAGTCATTCTTATACCCTCTGTGCTAAAAGGCAGGATATGCTAGGAAGAACTTCCCAGGCAACACAAAGCCAATAGTCACTCTTACAGAACAGCCACAACCAGCTGCAGACACTGACTGGCAGCAGTGGCTGATGTAGCTGTCCCCTTAAGGCATTTCTAGCAGAGAGGCAGGATAAGCAAGCACCTGTGTATCACCCACTCTGTTCTACCTTAGGATTCAAGTCTACTGTTCTCATTTCCAGAAGGTCTAGAGTCTTCTGTTCTATTGCATAGTGTTCTAGTTTACTAGTCATTTTAAAAATTCAAACAGATGCAATGCTATCATTTATTTTAGGAGCTGGTTGTGTATCTTTAATAAAAAGGTCTCATCTCTTAATTTTCAAAGGCAATGGATTAAAATCTACAACTTACCATCTTCATTTTAATCAATCTTCTTAACCTCCTAGCTCCCCTAGAGCTACTAGTACTTATAAAACCAAGTGATACTGAGTTTTCTCTCTTATTTTTCCAATGTTTACTCACTGGTAGTGGTATTAAACCACCACCTGTCTGTCAGTTTGCTGTACTGTGGTGGTGGTCTGCATGTTGCTAGGATGCTGGAAGATATATCATGAGTATTTCAAATGCCAGCAGGGTCACCTATGGCGGACAGATTTCAGTGGAGCTTCTACACTCAAACTGTCTAGTAAGAAAGTCCTGGTAATCTACTTCCAAAAATTAGCCAATGAAAACTTCATGGATCACAACAGAACACTGTCTGACTTGCTTGCTTTGGACACATCATTAGAAGGAGTCAATCGCTAGAGGAGCACATCAGGTTTGGTGAAGCAGAGGGCATGGGAGACCCTCACTGAGACAGACTGGCACAAAAGCCACAACAATGGACTCAAACATGCTGGCAATCGCGGGGATGATGCAGGCCCAGGTAGTGCTTTGCTCTGCTGCACATAATGTTGCTGGGAGTTGGAGGAGACTCAATGGCAGCTAACAATCATGGTTATCACTGAGACAGAGGAAGTCTGGGGGAAGAAAGCAAGTGGTGGGAAATAAGCTAAGTGCTGAATCAGCTCTAAGGGGAAAAAAATGTTGTTGTTGTTTTCCTTTAAGGGTTTGGTTTACCTCATCATTTTTCGTGAGATCTTGGGCCACTACAATTTCTTTAATCACTTGCACCACAGTCAGAGCTTTCTTCTCCCAGATTTTCAGTAATTAAAAAGACATTAAATTAGAGATAATTATGATTGAGAGCCTGGATATGCCATACTTCAGGAAGGCTCCAATTACTTCAAAAGCTATTTAAAAATTCTGAAAAACTCAAGAACTAGATGATGCCCAGCTACCACTTTCACTGGTACAGGAGATCCTGGATACAGTGGGAGAACAATGTGGAACAAAACTCAGAATCATAAAAATAGACCAAGTTTGCTGTTCTGATAGAGCCTGGTGAGACCCCTGAGACTATGGCCCCTAGTTACCCTTCAGGTCTGGAATTGCACTCACTCCTGTGGCTTCCAGCCAAATAATGGACAGGCATATGGGATGAACATTTACATCAAGTAGATACACTACCTACAGCAATCAATTATGGGAGAACAGAAGGGCAGTGTATACACAGGGAGACAGCTTGGGCGGCAGGGGTGCATGGGAGGGAAGGACACAGGGAAGATATAACTATGGGGAGGAAGTGGGAAGAGAGTTGTTACACTGTGGGGAATTGTAGTCAATATGAGACAAAATGTGTACAAACTGCTATATGGAAAATGAATTTGCCTGCTCTGTAAACTTTCACCCAAATCACAGTAAATTTTTTTTTTAATTTCCAAAAAATTCTTAGTATACAATTGCTTTCAAGTCCAAGTTAAGTGAAATATACTCACATATATAACTCATATGGGTGTACTTTCATTACTTCTAACACCCACCCACTGCTACTGAGTCGATTCTAACTCATAGTGACTCTTACAGCACAGAGTAGAACTGCCCCATAGGGTTTCCAAGGCTGTAAATCTTTACGGAAGCAGACTGACACATCTTTCTCACATGGAAGGGCTGGTGTCTTCAAACTGCTAACCTGTTTGGCAGCCGAGCACTTTGACCACTGCTCCACCAGAGCTCCAGTACTCCTAACACATATAATAATATTTTAAATATAACAATACCATGCGTAGATTTGGAAGTGATGAACCCCTCAGTGAGATAATGGAAAAAGCACTGGACTTGGAGTCAGGTGTCCAGGGTGTGACCTTAGACAAGTCATAACTCCTTTGAATCTTAGTTTCCCAAAATGCATCTCCACAAGCATCAAAGTGCTCAGTACATTTGACAAAACATTTGAGAGGGAAGGGAGAAGTAGTAAGAAAATAAAAGGTAAGAGAGAGGTGAAATAAGTGATAATGAAATAACTGGGAGGTAGTTATGAAGGAAAGGGGAAGAGGGACCAATGGAATGCCAGAGACTAAGTCTGGCAGAGTTGAAATGAGTGTGATCCCATTTACTATCTCCAAGTACCTTATTAAAAATTCTCTCATATGTAAATATAATTTTACTTACCCCAAATTACACAAAGTACACTTAAACCCATGTGAAACTAATCTACTACTTACATCTGAGTAAGATAATATTTTCCTTGGTTTTGAAAATTAACTGGGGAATACACTTCCTTTTAAAGGAGATTTTCCTTTTTGCTCAATACCACAATCTTTCTCCTCCCATGCTGATGGTGAAAAGTCTCCTGCCAAACCATCCATTTTGGTCTTTCCATTATTTGCAGTGACTACAAACCAAAATCCTACCTATTTCCATCCTATTTCCTTCTGTCCCAGTTTTTACCCAGATTCCCAAGTAGCATTTGGGAATTCCTATGCCCAGGAAAGTCCCTGGGTGGTGCAAAAGGTTAAGTGTTTGATTACTGGCTGATGGTGGTTCAAACCCACCTACGGGCTCTTGGAAGACAGGCTGGCAATCTGTTTCTGAAAGGTCACAGCCTTAAACCCTATGAAGCAGTTCTACTCTGTGTATATAGAGTCATTATGAGCCAGGATCAACTTGACAGCAACTGGAAACAATCACCCATGACCTCTCTTAGCCTAATTCATAAATTCTCTCCATTTCTCTACTCATAATTATTAAAATCCCTGGATTACTTGCCTCTGCTTTTTGCACCACTGATTCCTTTCCACTCTCCAGGTCTCAGCTAAAATATTACTTTCTCAGAGAGGCCTTCTTTGACCACCTTATCTATGTGATTCCTTCCTCCATTATTCTCTACCTTATCTTGTTATAATTTCTTTTTGTGAAATTGTAATTTGTAATTTCATGTTTATTTACTTTCATATACTTTTCTTCCTTCACTAACCTATTATCCTCACATAGGTAGAGGCCATGTGTTTGATGTGTTCAGTAACTGAAGCAGACAGCCATGTCTTTCTCTTGCAGAAAGACTGGTGGGTTCCAACTGCCAAACTTTTGTTTAGCAGCCAAATGCTTTAATCACTGTGCCACCAGGGCTCTTATAAAAGAATTTAATGTATAACATATATAAACAGAAAAGTGCCCAAACCATGTGTACAGCTAGAAAATTGAAAACATCTGAGCATATCCATATAACCAGTACCCAAATGATGTAAATTCCAAGACCAATAACCCCAGAAATCCCTCAGGCCCCCTTCAAATGACTATCTCCTGCTCTTCAAGGGTAATCCTACTACCATGTTGTTGTTAGGTGCTGCTGAGTTGGCTCCGACTCATACCAACCCTAGGTACAAGGGAACAAAACACTGCCTGGTCCTGTGACATCATCATAATCCTTGATACACTTGAGCACATCACTGCAGCCACTGTGTCAATACATCTTGTTAAGGGTCTTCCTCTATTTCACTGACCCTCTACTTTACCAAACATTATATCCTCCTCCAGGGTCTGGTCCCTTCTGACAACATAACCAAAGTAGGTGAGACGAAGTCTGGCCATTCTCACTTCTAAGGTGCATTCTAGCTGCACTTCTTCCAGGACAGATTTGTATTTTCCAGTATTCTTTACCAACACAATTCAAAGGCATCAACTCTTCTTCAGTCTTCCTTATTCCCTGTCCAGCTTTAACAAACATATGAGGCAACTGAAAATACCATGGCTTAGGTCAGGTGCATCTTAGTCTTCAAAGTGATGTCTTTGCTCCTTAACACTTTAAAAAGGTCTTTTGCAAAAGATTTTCCCAGTGTAATATGATGTCTGACTTCTTGACTGTTGCTTCCGTGGATGTTGATTGTGGATCCAAGCTAAATGAAATACTTGACAACTCCAAAATTTTCTCCATTTATTGTGATGTAGCTTACTGGTTCAGCTGTGATGATTTTCGTTTTCTTATGTGGAGGTGTAATCCATACAGAAGACTATAGTCTTTGATCTTCATCAGGAAGTGCTTCAAGTATTCTTCACTGTCAGCAAGCAAGGTTGTGTCACCTGCATATCACTGGGTGTTAATGAGTCACCCTCCAAAGCCGATGCCATGTTCTTCTTCATATAGTTCAGATTCCCAGATTATTTGCTCAGCATATAGATTGAGTAAGTATGGTGAAAGGATACAACCTTGATGCACACTCTTCCTGATTTTAAACCATGCAGTATCCCCTTGTTCTGTTTGAACAAAAGCCTCTTGCTCTATGCTCAAGTTCCTCATGAGCACAATTAAATATTCTGTAATTACCATTCTTTGAAAAGTTATCCATAATATGATCCACCCAGTCAAATGCCTTTGCATACTCAATAAAACATAGGTAAACATTTTTCTGGTATTTTTTGCTTTAGCTGAGACCAATATCTTACATCAGCAATGATATCCCTTGTTACATATCCTCTTCTGAATCTGGCTTGAATTTCTGATAGTTCC